GCTCGGCCACAGCCCTGGCTTGGGTGGCACACAACCCACAGCGGCGAGGATGGATGGAGGCGCCAGGGAGAAAGATGGCGCGGGAGGCGCCTTCGCTCAGCCCACCGGCGCTCCTGATTGGGCAACGCACACAACCCGCAGAGGTCTTCCGTCCGCACCGGAAGACGGCTCCTCGGGATTGACGTCACACAGTCTAGGAGGCTAAACCGAGCCGGGCTCCCTCGGTGCGTTGCTGAGAGCCGCCGGGAAGACAGGCGGCTCACACGGCCCTGCCTCTCGGCACGCCTGACCGGACCGTCCGCACCAGCCGCTTCTGCGGCCGGCGTTGCTGGTGCCCGCGGATTCAGTCTCGGAGTGATGGGATATCGTTATCCTTCCACCTCTAACTGACACCACCACTTCCTCTCCTGTCTACATCACTAAGGAAACTCAGTGAGACCCACACAGACATGATAGATGAAAGGAGTCCAGGAGAGAGGGAGAGGGACAAGAGGGAGGGGGTCTGTGTATGTGATATAAACAAGATACATTATGCACATGAATGAAAACGTTACCGTGAAATATTACATATAATTAATGTATGCTAATGGAAACGTTATAAACGATACATCCCGGCAGTGAGGAAGTAAAAAGCTGCAGCGGTCCTTCAACAAAGGGAAGCCGACACATGCATTCTTCTCGGGTTTATTATGAAGTGCCCCAGGCCATGATCCGTCCTCAAGGTGGAAGGGAGGGCACTAGACAGCGGCAATACAATTTATGCAGATCTAAACACAGGGCCTTAAAAGAGGGGGAGGTGAGGGCGCCAGGGGCAGGCAGAGGCTGACAGACTGACCTTGAGAAGGGGAGGTGAGGGCAGAAGAGCTTCAGAGAGCAGCCTTCATCCCTGAGCTATCATCCTGAGTTGTCTCAGATTACTCTCCAGAACAAATTGAAAGTCTGATTTCTTAAAAAATAACCTTTTAGTGGGCAGGGTCTTTCACACCGTGTGATTTGGTTCAGCACAGTGCACACGACGGGGAGCACGGAGACAGGCGCTCCAGAGAACTGTCAAGTCACAGCACACTGCTTCCTAATTCTGTCCGAGACAGCTGCAGAGGGGCTATGGGATCAGGCCTGAAGAAGCAGGCTAGTGCAAATCAGCCACAGTAGCTTGGGTTCTTCTCTCTTGTCTCAAACTGGCCCATCTCAGGGCCAGGGTCTCAGGCCTCAAAGAAATACAGGAAATGGTTAACCTAGGTGCCTATTAACATATCAAAGCAGACACTGGCTGAAGTCAATGGTGGGTGGGACCAACCTAGACAGAGACTGCCTAGGTGTTGACACACCAGAGAAGAGGAAACCTCAATTGAAGAATTGCTCCCATCATACAACAGGCATGTATGTGCATCATTTCCTTGCTAAATGATGTAGGAGGGCTCAGTCTACCACTGTGGACACTACTATGTCTAGGCAGCTTTCCTGTCTTTAAAATCCAGGGAATTAAAAAAAAACTCTTTGCATGTGTGTATGTGCCTGCACACCTGTGGGTGCACAGAGGCCAGAGAGCCTCATTCTCTATCACTCTCCATCTTACTCTCTTGAGACAAGGTCTCACTGGACCCAGAGTTAGGCTGGCAGACAGGAAGCCACAGCCATACTCGGTGTCTGTCCCTCTCTGCTGAGATTACCAGTTAACAAGGTCTATTGGGGTCAAGCCCCAGATAGCCCTCTCCCAGGGTGTGGGCAAGAATTACCACCAGCTGAGAATCTAATCTTAGGAATACTGAATGAATCTACACACACCAGGCTCTTCAGTCCATTCATTTTATTCTTCTAAGTCAATTCTCAGTCTACAACTTTTCTCTCATACATGTCTGTGCTGTTCTTTGTTCTACCTTGAGTCTCTGAAGTTTCCAGTTTTTATACACATACAGCAATTATCTGGCCAAAGCAAGGCCACAAGGCTTGAATTCTTTCAGGGTCATAAAAGTAGATAAGTGTTTACACCAGGGAGTGATTGTCAGGCTTTCTTATGACTCAAGGAGGGGGTGACTTGTAAAGGCCTCAGTGAACTCTTAAAGGGAATGGGGTCAATGAGGGAGAGACCTTAAATCAATTAGGGAAATCTAAGAAGGGAAAAAGAGGAATCTGTGTGTAATACTGCACTCCTAAGTGTGGTTAGATAATAACCTGATTAGTAAACCAAGGTGAAAGTAAAAGGAGTTAAGAATTGGTTAGTGTGAGGTTAGCCTGGGGCAGCACTTTCCTGTCTATAGGCAGGCTAAGCCCAGGGCACATTTGTTCCCTGTCTATCTAAAGGCTGTGAATCAACAAATGTCCTTGGGTGTCTGAGAATGTTTCAAATGAGATACTTTTGCCTGGACACTTAACACTGACCAAATGCCTGCCAATGAAGATAATTGCAGAAAGGCAGACCTCTCAGTTTTACGTTGGAAGAGGAACAAAGACCTGGCAAAAAACAGGTTTTGACTGTGTGAATGTTTTCATACAAAGCTGGGGGATATTATCCAAACACCTGGAATGTATAGGGGAAACTGTGCCCAATAAATGATCAATCATACTGTTAGAAGTTCTTGGGATAAGAATCAGATGGGAAGGGTACAATAGCACACCAGAAATTCACTGTAGGAAACAGCTAATACATTCAAAAGCCAGTATCTCCAGAACTCAAGTTTTGGCTTTAACTTCCAACAGAACCCTTGGCTCTGCTGGGTTAGCCTTGTCAGTGCTCAGCTTTTTATGTGGGTGCTGGGGACTCAAACTCAGGTCCTCACAAGTGTACAGCAAGCACTCTTACTGTGCCATCTCCCCAGCCAAGATGATTTTCATGCATAAACAGTATGTTTATACTCAAGGCCAATGTGAACTGACTATAACATTGAAAGATGACTAACTGATGACACATTTGCTGAAACACATAACAAGATTTATCACCTGCTCCTGTATTTATGTGTGCCAGTGCCAAGGACACAAGCTGACATATTAGTCCAACAGTGAAAGCTTCTTTACACAGTGAGTTTCCATGAAGACTGACATGCACCTCAGCATGATGTCACCTGCTAATGCCTACTTTTCTTTATAGCTCCGAGTTGGTGTTTCAATCTTGGTTCACCAACTTTCTTGTGTCACAAAAATGGAAGCATTCATATTTGCAAATAGTATGTTCTTACATACATCTACATGATCTGTACTCATTTCTATGTTCCTACTTTACAAAGCTGTCAAGCAGTGAGAGCTGTACTGCAATCCAGGGCTCTTCATGCACTTTCCTAGGTTTCTACCCTGGCAATTTACCTAAACATATTGCTTTCTTAGTGCTTTAGTCAGGGTTCTCTGAAGAAACAGAACCAGGGGATGATTATTAGCCTAGCTCTTGGTTCAAGGAAAGACTTTTTTTTTTTTTATTCAAGGGAATAAGGCAAAGCATGATACAGCAGGATGACATCTTCCTCTGGTCTCCAAAGGCGCACAGGCACACACATCTGTGACTCGAGTTTTCCTGCCTTGCCCACAGTCAGGACAAATCTTTGTCACCTACCAGTCCCACAGCTGCTCAGACCCAACCAAGTAAACACAGAGACTTATATTGCTTACAAACTGTATGGCCGTGGCAGGCTTCTTGCTAACTGTTCTTATAGCTTAAATTAATCCATTTCCGTAAATCTATACCTTGCCACGTGGCTCGTGGCTTTCTGGCAACTTCGCATGCTGCTTGTCATGGCGGCGGCTGGCAGTGACTCCTTCCGCCTTCCTGTTCTCTCAATTCTTCTCTCTGTTAGTTCCGCCTATACTTCCTGCCTGGCCACTGGCCAATCAGTGTTTTATTTATTGACCAATCAGAGCAATTTGACATACAGACCATCCCACAGCACTTCCTCTTTTCTTTCTTTCTTTTTTTTTTTTAAAGAAGAAGGTTTTAACTTTTACACATCTCCAAAGCCAGCTTGGTATATTTGGAAATTTGGGCGTAGCTTCTCTTACTACTTCCTGCTGGAGAGGGGTGCTGTATCTTATAGGACACAAAGAAAATTTTAGGATTATGGAGTAGTCTGTGAGGGTGTATCATCTGAGCCAGTTGCCTTGAAATGGTTCTGGATGTTGGATCATCTGGGCCTTGGTGTCATCGGAGACCTTTCAGGGGGTCTTGGCTGGTCAAACCTGATGTATCTTAATCTGGAACAAATCCATAGCCTCTGGCTTTCTGTGGAAACAAGAGCAGAGCCTCCTTTCCAAAGCAACATATCCTTACATCCAAATTTTGAAGTCAAGGTACCTTTAAAATATACATTTTGGCATAACTCAACAGCTTTTGCAGTCAAATGTTTTTCTTCAGTTACAAATATCAGAGAGAACATAATCCAGATTCTCGGTGTGGTAGCCATCTTTACATGGCTTATTTTTCATATTATCTTGAGCCTATTGCTTTAAACTGCAGCATTCTAAGACTGAAACAGAGCTGTGGCTGCTGGCTCTGCCCACTTCAGCTTCCCAACATGGCAGTGGTATGTTTTCCGCCATCTCTGGGCGCCATCAACTCTCAGAAATAGTGGGTCTATGCTTCTATCAAAGCAGCATGTAGCCCAGAAACCTTTTTTTTGTTTTGTACTAGCAAAGGCTAAATCCACCACGCAGCTTAATGTGCCACTTACAGAGGCCTCATTCCCGCCATACTGCTGGTCGAGCACGCACACCAGGAACCCACCATAGTAGCTCAAACACACAGGCTGCCGCTAACTTGAAAGAGACAACTAGGAACTGTTTTTAGCTCTGTTTTAGTATCCTTTTACTCAAGTTTTAGGTGGAAACTCTTGCCAACATGTTGGGCGCCATTTGTAACTAGAGTTTTCCTGACTTGCCCATAGTCAGGACAAATCTTTGTCACACATCTGCATACACCTATGCATTCACCACATCCACAATGCTTACACACACCACACATGCACAAATTAATAAACTTAAAATAAAAAAAATATGATCTTTCTGATGAACAAATCAAATATGGTATGTAGATAGATTTATTACAGCAATCCATTACATTCGTTGTGACTAAAGACTTGGCCCTGGTTATCTCTGGCCAGAACATACTTAAACCAGTGGGATGTATCTTTTGATGAGAGAAGTAAAGGGAAAATTATGATAAAAAACTATAACATAAATATAAATATAAAAAGAGCATTCGTTAGTAGGATTCCACTACATAAGGACATTTCACCAGTATTTTGACAATGACTATAACATGAAAGGAACAATTTGAAAAATTGTAAAGCTGATCTCTTTTTGATGATTATTTTGCAGATATATTGTCCATATACGAAAAATAACATGTGTCAATGTATACACTTTTGAAAACAGTTAAAATATAAAATATGTACAGAAATCTTATTTGGAGAAAATATTAAAAGTGAAAAATAGTTAAATCTACTTTAAAGTCATTTGTTCTGAATTTATATACATATATGACCTATGACAAGAGCCTAGTAGGAAAATCACAAGTATTAATAACCTTTCATATCTGTGAACACTGAGCTTGCATGTGTGGAAGCTAGAGGACAACATCAGGTAACTCTCTCCAACCTGTCTGCCTTATGTGCTTGAGACATGGTCTTAAACTAATCTTAGAGCTTGTTTTCATCTAGACTAGTTGGCCAGCAAGCCCCAGTAATCTTCCTGAACCCCTCCTTTCAACGCTGGGGATACAGGCATGTTTGGTCATCTCTGGCTTTTTGCATGAGTGCTGGGGATCTGGCCTAGGTCCTGAAGCTTATCCATTGAGCCATTTTCCCAGCCCAAATTTAAAATTTTTTATAAGTCCATTAGCAAAATTATTTTAAAACTACATAAAAATTATGACTGCTCACATATTAGAAAGACATTTCAATTCAACATTTTAAATTAAAAGCAGAAAGTTATTAACTGAATTTACTAATACTGAAACTACAGATTAAGCACATGTAACTGTTTAAGTAAACCTTAGCAAATAATTTCAATGAAACATTGATTTTCAGGGTTGGGGATTTAGTGCTCAGTGGTATGAGCACTTGCCTAACAAGCGCAAGGCCCTGGGTTCGATCCTCAGCTCAAAAAAAAAAAAAAAGGTGAAACACTGATTTTCAAGAAAAAAATTAAAGCACAGTTTAGATCTACTTAAGAATATGACACTGACAAACATTTATAAATATTAGAACATTTCCTCTGAAGGGTGTAATTTCTAAAGCAGTCCATAAGTTATTTTATGCCAGGCTCTTCACATTAGTTATGTTAATAGAATCCTACTACATCAGCTTTTGACACGTGCTACAAATGACAATTCTACTTACATTTACAAGGTTTTACTGTGTATATGCTGGCCAAGTGAAGACTTACAGATTTCTTCTAATCAAGGTTCTTGATCCAATGTGTCCTTTTGTGTGTGTGGTGTGCATACATGTGAGGATGAGTGTTCATATGTGTGTGGCTGCACATTGTACTTGCATGTAGAGGCCAGAGGTTGATGTTAATGTTGGATGTCTTCCTTAATCATTCTCCACTTTACTTTTTGAGAGATCTCTCACCGAATCTGAATAGATTTGAGTAGACTAGTTAACCAGCAAGTTCAGGGATCTCTTGTCTTTGCCTCCCTAGCACTGGAATTACAGGCATGTGTCACCATGTCTGGCTTTTATATGGGTGCTAAGGATTTAAACTCAGGATCTCATGCTTCTGTGGCAGGCACTATACAGATTGAGCCATCTCCCCATCCTCCTAGTGTTTTTTTTTTTTTTTTTTTGGAGAACTGAACAGAGACAAATAGAGATAATCCCACATGCTTTACATTGATACGCATTAAATTCACTATGCCATCATGCTTACTAGAAAGAGCTCGTAACTAACAATGGGGCTTTCCTTTACTCTATATTTAGAGATATTCTCCAATGTGTCTCCATTCATGTTTTTGAAGGGAACCACAACATGTTAAGGGTTATTCACATTGCTTACAACCATATAGTTGGTTTTTTTATTTTGGTTGTTGTTAATGAGATTAAAACTTATTCAAAGAGAAGTTCTTCCAATGTAGTTTACACACAGTGCATCTTTTCATGGTATCGAAGAGAACCATGAGTACTGTAGGATTTCCCACATTGTTTACATACATAGGGTTTCTCTCCAGTGTGAATTCTTTCATGGCATCGAAGGGAACTGTGATCAGTGAAGGCTTTCCCACAGAACTTACATACATATGGTTTCTCGCCCCTGTGGATTCTTTCATGGCGTTGAAGAGAACTATGATAAGTGAATGCTGTCCCACATAACTTACATACATAGGGTTTCTCTGTACTGTGAATATTTTCATGGCAACGAAGAGAACTGTGATACATAAAGGCTTTTCCGCACTGTTTACATACATAGGGTTTCTCTCCGGTGTGAGTCCTTTCATGGCAATGAAGGGAACTATGAAATGTGAAGGCTTTTCCACACACCCTGCACAAACAAGGTTTCAATCCGCTGTGAATTCGTTCATGTTTTTTCAATGCGCTGCTCAACACAAAGGCTTTCCCACATTGCTTACACCCATAGGATTTCTCTCCACTGTGAATCTGCTCATGGTATCTAAGAGCATTGTGATGCATGAAGTTTTTCCCACATTGCTTGCATGCATAGGGCTTCTCTCCACTATGAATCCTTTCATGGCATTTAAGAGAACCTTGACGACTGAATGCTTTCCCACATAGCTTACATACATAAGGTTTCTCTCCACTATGAATCCTTTCATGACATTGAAGAGAACTGCAATCAATGAAAGCTTTCCCACATACCTTACATTCATAGGGTTTCACTCCAGTATGAATTCGCTCATGTCTTCGCAAGGCACTAGAACAAGCGAATGCTTTTCCACATTGCTTGTATATATAGGGTTTCTCTAAACTGTGAATCTTTTCATGGCATTGAAGGGAATTGTGATCACTGAAGGCTATCCCACATTGATTACATATGTATTTTATTCCATTGTTAGTTTGTTCATGACTTTCAACCTTACTCAAAGAAGGAAAGACTTTCAGAAATTGCTTGCATTCATAGGGTTTCTCTCCACTATGAGTCCTTTCATGGCGGCGAAGGCCACTGGAATAAGTGAAGGTTTTGCCACATTGCTTACATGTATAAATCTGTTCTCCATTATGTGTTTTTTCGTGTGTCAAGAAAGAACTGGAAGAGTGAAAGGCTTTACCACATACTTTACATATATATGGCCCATGTCCATTTTGTGTTATGTGCTGTTGAATATCAGCAAGAGTCAAAAAGTCTTTTTCACTCTGCTTTAAAACACAAGGATTTTCTGTAGCATGCATTCTTTCAGGGACCTGAACATTACTGTGTCTACTAAAACCTTCCTCAGTTTGCTTACATTCATAAGTTTTCTCTTCCACATGAGTCTTTATGTGTTCCAGAAAGCACTGAGAAGAACTAAAGACTTTCTCACATTCCTTATATTTGGCTGGTTTCTCTGCATATTCTTGATTCTCACATAGTTTGTATCCAGTCTGAACTGCAATGGGAAGAATTTTCCTTAAATTTTCATAGTCATCTTCAAGGGTCTTGTCTTGTTTTTTTGCTGGAATGTAGATCCAGAAAAATCACTTTGAGTTAATACAACACTACAGAAAAGTATTAGATTCTAAGTAGGTTTCTGGTACAACATGACCATGACTGGTTTATTCATCAAAATTTCTGTGTCTGTACAAAATGGAGCTGCACTGATAAGTAAAAATACATTTTTTCTCATGGATTAAACAAGGCAATGATTTCACTCTTACCTATGGCAGCCAGGTTCCTGAAGGTTTCCTGCATCACATCTCTGTGCAACCTCTTTTGGGAAGAATTCAGTAAAGCCCACTCCTCTGAAGTGAAATTCACAGCCACATCCTCAAAGGATAAAGACTCCTGAAAAATGACATTATTTTCAAGAGGAAGAGTGAGACACATTGGAGATATCTACTCAATGCACATGATGTTTACAGAATGTTCTGTTGTTTAAATGTTAAATCTATGTAATGCTCATCATCACTGTTCTGGTCAATGCTCTCATTTTTTTTTCTTTTTCTTTTTTTTTTTTTTTTTTTTGAGACAGGGTTTCTCTGTGTAGCTTTGCTCCTGTCCTGGAACTCACTCTGTAGGCCAGGCTGGCCTCGAACTCACAGAGATCTGCCTGCCTCTGCCTTCCAATGCTAGGATTAAAGGTGTGTGCCACCACCACCTGGCTCAACATAATTCTTTACAGATCTTGAAAGAATAATACTCAACAACAATGTGATTCCAATGCTAGGCTGGAACTAAATTATAAAGCAAAAGTAGCAGCCAAGGGGCTGGAGAGATGGCTCAGCGGTGAAGAGCACTGACTGCTCTTCCACGGGACCTGGGTTTAATTCCCAGCAACCACATGGCAGCTCATAACTGTCTGTAACTCCAGTTCCAGGGGACCCGACAGCCTCACACAGGCACGCATGCAGGCAGAACACCAGTGCACATAAAATAAAAAAGTAAACAAATCATTTTTTAAAAAAAGCAAAAGTAGATGCCTGTTATGCTGTTCGGTCACCCAGTAAAGTCTGTACAATGGTTCTGTTTCACCTCTCATAAAAAAAAAAATCCTACTAGGCCAGGCATAGCAGTGCACACCTTAATCCCAGCACTCAGGAGGCAGAGGCAGGTGGATCTCCTTGACCTGCCAGTCTTATATTGTTGAGTTCCTGGTCAGCTAGGGCTACATAGTGAGGCTCTGTCTTAAAAAAATCCCACTAGTCAGTATCCATAATAGAGTTAACATCAGCTATATGGAGACTATTCTTAGAACAGGGCTTGGAAAAGTGCTTGACTCTCAAGCATGAGGGCCTGAGTTTGAACCCCCACGATTCCACATAAAATTTCTGGGTATAGTGGAACACACTTGTAATCCCAGCACTGGAGATTACAGGTGAAGACAGGTAGATCCCTAGTGCATACTGATCAGCCAATCTAGTACAACTGGTAAGCTTCAGGCAAAAAAAGGTCCTTTCTCAAAAGGTGGACAGCATTCCTAAGGAATGACCCAAGGTTGTCCTCTGACCTCAACATGCATGTTGAGGATCCTACTTGATCAGAATGAAAATATGCTCTGGAGGATTAGTCTCCAATGAGCAGGTCTGACAGATAATATAGAATAAACACTTCATCTCCCAACTTCTTCCTTAGGAAGCTGCACATCTTTGGCTGCACAGAGAAAACTTAGGAAAACTTGTACTTGATATCTTATAGGTAATCTTAAATATTCTGAAAAACCTATGAAGGATAATCTACTATGATAATGTGAAAAGACTTTACTTTTTCCTCAAAAATGCTAAGAGAAATAGAAATGAGGAAAATGGCATTGTTAGAAGGGCCTTACTGTCAGATATACTGAGGAAATATAATTTATAATTATTTCTCAATACATCTTTATCGAGTGGACTACTAAACCAGAATTTCCTTTATCAGAAGATCCCTACATATAAATACATAGAAAAGCCCATAAAGAATGTACCATGTAAACATATATGAACTGCATATTTTACAAACAAACAGTATTGGGCAAAAAGGGTTTAAACAAAATAATACTAAGTGGCTTCAATACCCTGATACCACAAATAGATCACCCAGAAAAAAAAATCAACCAAGGAACTTCAGAGTTAAACTGCACCATAGATCAAATGCACTTAATGGCCATTTACAGAACAGTCTATCAAACAACTGCAGAAGACACATTCTTCTCAGCATAAGATGGAAGGTTCTCCAAAAATACATCACATATTAGGTGACAAAGCATTAGCAAATTCAAACACACACACACACAGCAACTAACTAACCAAATTAAAAAAACAAAAAACCCAAACATACTCTAAAATGCTTTCTTACATTATATCAGATCAAAAGTCAAATTGCAAAATATTTAATTTGGGGAAAAAAATATTAAGAAATCCAGAGCCAGGAAGACAGATTGGTTGGTAAAGTGCTTGCCACCTAAGCATAAAGACCTAATTTGTTCCCTAGTACTCACAGAAAAAGTTGGGGATGGTGGCACACACTGTATGCTGGGGACTTGGAAGACCTGTAGTTGTGAAGCTATTAGAAGATAAAATGAAGCCAATTGTTTTGTAGAATGAAATATGATAACAAATATAAATGAAAAGAAGCCTTTACCAAATATAATGTCATATGGAAAAAGAGACTAAACAGGACAGGAAATTGGGAAGACGTAGGAATTGGGGATGAATCTGGGAGGAATTAGGAGAAGTGAAAGTGAGTATGATAAAAATACATTGTATGCTGGGTGGCGGTGGCTCATGACTTTAATCCTAGCACTTGGGAGGCAGAGCCAGGTGGATCTCTGTGAGTTCGAGGCCAGCCTGGTCCACAGAGCGAGATCCAGGACAGGCACGAAACTACACAGAGAAACCCTGTCTCAAAAACAAACAAACAAAAAAAATTGTATGCTTATAGGAAATTGAAAAAAATTATATTAATAAAGAAAGGACAAGCAAGTAATTACAGGAAAGATAAACAATCTTGAAGTGATCCATATGTAAGCAGAAAATTGACTCACAATGTAGCACATATCAACAATGTCTTAGTTAGGGCTTCTGTTACTGTGATACACATCATTACCAAAAGCATCTTGGGATGGAAAAGGTTTCTTTCAGCTTATATGTACGAACCACAGTTTATCAGGAAGGAAAGTCAGGGTAGGAACTGAAGCAGAGACCATGGAGGACCAGTGCTTACTGGCTTGCTTTTCATGGCTTGCTCAACCTGTTTTCTTTTATTTTTTAAAAAGATTTTATTATTATACATACAGTGTTCTGTCTGCATGTGTCCTTGCAGGCCAGAAGAGGGCACCAGATCTTATTACAGGTGGTTGTGAGCCACCATGTGGTTGCTGGGATTTGAACTCAGGACCTCTGGAAGAGCAGTCTTTGCTCTTAACCACTGAGCCATCTCTCCAGCCCGTCAACCTGGTTTCTTGTAGTACACAGGACCATCATCCCAGAAGTGGCACCAACCATAGTAAGACGGGTCCTTCCATATCAATCAAGAAAATGTACCACACAGGCCAATATGATGGAGGCATTTTCTCAATTGAGGGTCCCTCTTCCAAAATGACTAGCTGGTGTCAAGATGACATAAAATAAGCCAGTACAAACATTAATGTCAGAAATCAACCTGCTTAATACACTCTAGGACAAATTAGTATTTACTTGGAAACATGTACAGATTTCCCTTTCTCATGAAGAATAATCAAATTATACAATGAAATGGAAAAGACAAAATTCAAGTGTTTTGCGAAGTCATAGTCAAGTATCTTTTGATGTGTAAAGTTTCCTTTAGATATGCATATTTAGGTATGTAGAAGATATGCAGATTAGTAAGTATAATGCCAAACAAACAAACAAACAAAAAAAAAAATCGCCGGGCGTTGGTGGCGCACGCCTTTAATCCCAGCACTCGGGAGGCAGAG